TCACAGTGTTCTATGTGCCAACACTCTCTTGCATTTTGATGTAGCAACCCCAGGAGCCCCAAAGTGGGGGAGATGACTTGAGCATCAGCTAAACACTCACAGACTGTCTCACTGGGAGGATCCAGGGCCATCTCACCCTGCACAGAAGCTGGGGGAAGAGGCAGGCCTATACTGCCTTGCCCATAGCAGGTCCCTGGAGGGTCAAGGTTCTCTGGCTTGCTTGGGAACAAGCAACGTCACAGCTAGTGGCCAGGGAGACCTCAAGAGGACAGTCTGTCACCACCCAAGCTGTGCCATATGCCATCAGGAGTTCTGATTGTGTAGCATTGCTGCCAACTGAGACTGCCTTCATTCCTGTCTTTGTTCTGCTTCACCGCTGAGGGTAGCTCCTGTCCTCTTCCTCTCGGGAGAGCTGCGTTGAGCCACATAGGTAGATTCTGGAGGTGAAGAGAATATGAGAACTCTATGCTCCCATGATTTTCAGAAAGAAGGGTTGCTGTGGGGTACCCCAGGAGGGTCAGTGCAAGTGGGAACAGGAACAAAACTTGCTTAACCTGCAAAGGCTTTGATAAAATCCACAGAGAGGAAGGGAATGGGTACTTGGTCAGTGGCCATTAGGTCTGCAGACTGGGTGGGGTTTCTGGGATGCTGGAAGACTATTGGAATCTTGGAGACCGAGTCAGGTAGGTATGGCCAGAAGGGTACTCCCTGGTGACTCGGGCACAGAACACAGCCCAGTATCTTTTCAGTCTTGGGTCATTCCCTGACATGTGGCCCTGGAGTCATTTAAGGTATTTTATAAAGTGGAGACTAATGGATATTGATAATTAACCATGACTTTGGGGCAGAGAAGGGAGGGACTTGGAGCTATGCAAGCTGCCTTTGGGATCGGTAGCAAGCAATTTCATCACCCCTGAGGGACTGACAGAGAACCTGGCTGTGTTGAGAGACACCTGCCCAGTGATGGTCTTTGAAGGTACCAAGCTTGACATGCTTACGTGGAAACCTGTCCTGCACGTATGTAAAAACAAAACAAAACAAAAACACCCAAATGGTAAAATACAGCCCTTGAACCCATGCTGAAGCAGTCTTGTTTTCTGGGGTTAAATCCAGACGGTGTCTGTGAGAGCAGACACCTCCTGGTTCCTCTCTGCCGGTTTGCTCCACTGCTTGGAGGAGCGGGCACTTATTAGTCCTTCACTTCCTCTTCTGGGGCAGAAGAGTAAGCAGCCGTGTGGCTCAGGTCGCAGATCTACAGCAGATCAAGCAGGCTGCTGCTTCAGCTCCTAGCCAACCTTCCTTTTCAGGGGTAGCAATGACCAGTCTGTAAATGAGTAAAACACTTCTAATAATACTGGCCATGGTGTGAGCAAATGAAGGCCACTCCGTGGTGTGGACACTAGCCCCTGGATTTTTAAAGGGGAGGAGACCAAGACTTGGTAAGATGTGGTGAGTGACCCAGGTACCTTGGGAGTGGTGGTGGGGGAGGGAAATGAGAGTCTGCATCTATTCTACTTAGCCATTTGGCCTCAATGAACTAGGGGGTGAGCTCCGTTGCTGGAGAGAAGAAAACTGGAGGTAGATGGTTACTAAATGGTGTGTGTGTGTGTGTGTGTGTGTGTGTGTGTGTGTGCGTGCGTGTATCTACTGCAAAGGCATACTTAAAGGAGGGAGAAGGGAGCCGGCTGTGATGGCACATGCCTTGAATCCTAGCACTAGGGAGGCAGAGGCAGGCGGATCTCTGTGAGTTTGAGGCCTGTGTGATTTACAAAGCAGGTTGCAGGACAGTCAGCGCTGTTACACAGAGAAACCCCATCTAGAAAAAAATCAATTTAACAAAAGGAAGAAGGAGGGACACTGCTAAGGTTTGGCTGTGTTCTGCACCCTCTCCTCAGGGTCCACACACCAGGGCATAAAGAGGAGGGTCCATGTGGGAGGTCCTAAGGTCGTTGGGGGAGTTGCCTTTGGGATTAGCAATTAAATAGGTAGATGTAAGACCTGAGAGGAAGACCAGCCTGGCATGGCTGTCTGGGCTTCCACTGTGACACGTTTATTCCTTTGTCTGCCTTCACCGTGACACCATCCATGTCAGGTCCTCACCAGAGGCCGGCTCAGCAGGGCCCTGCTATCTTGGGACTTAGGACCTCGAAATTTTCGAGTTACATTAAATACTCTTCTTTAAAAAGTTAATCTGCCTCAAGTATTTCATTGCAGAAACTGGACTAGCTTGAGCTGACTCAAGAAGCTTGAAGAAGCCAGGCATGGCTGCACGTGACTGCAACCCTAGTGTTTGGAAGGCGGACAGGAGGGTCCCAAGTTCTAGGCTAGCCTGCGCTTTGTAAAGAGGCCTGTCTCAAAAACAGGCAAGCAAAAAGCAGAACAAAAACCAAACAAAATCCCTGGGTAAAAAATAAGGAAAGAAGAGAAAAGGACAGAAAAAGAAACAAGCTCTTTGCATCTTGAGGCTGTAGGGTTCAGTAAAGGCTGGGGGGACAAAGCCCCAGGTTGCCTTCAAATCAGACGTGGGTCACAAGTTTGGATCCTGGGCCACGGTCACTTCAAACTAGTTGGTCTGGCTCAGGTGAGGGACTGGACAATGGCAGGGAGCACCCAGGTTGCAGAGATGTTCTCCAGCCTGTCAGAGGTAGATGAGAGGGTCCACGGCAGCCACCCTGGCTGGCACCAGTTACCTATGGTTGGGTAATCTGAAGGCGGGGCTTAGATGCGGCAACACCATTGCCATATAGTCAGCCCCCAGGGACTGCGGGATCTAGGGACTCGAGAGACTTGAGAGAGATTCAAAATGGGGTTAGAAATTTAGTTTCGCTCTCTCTCTCTCTGTACTTGGCATACATGCCAAAGTGTGCACCCTGAAGCCAGAACACAAACTCTGGGACTCCACTTATTTTTCTCTCTCTCCACCATACGGAGCCTGGGAACCCAATCCAGGACATTAGGCATTGTGTCAGAACCCTCACCTATGGATTCATCTCCTTGCTTTTTTTTTTTTTTTTGTTTTTTTGAGACAAGGTTTCAAGATCTCTCCCTCTCTCTCTCTGTCTCTCTCTGTCTCTTTCTCTTAAAGCTGGAATCTCAGGTATCTTAGAAGGGTTTTGTAGTCAACAATGACGTGAAGCTTCTGATCCTTTCGCTTCCACTTCCTCTGTGAGGTGATTACAGGTGTGATCACCACACTCAGTTTTCGTAGTGCTGGGATTGGTCCAGGTTTGTGTGTGTGTGTGTGTGTGTGTGTGTGTGTGTGTGTGTGTATGTTAGGCAAGCATTCTACCAATTGAACGAATGACATCCCCATGTGAGAGGCCAAGTTTTTATGGTGGCTTCTCTCATGGCCCATTGGATGTTTGCAGGCCCAAGGGAAGAGTCAGTGCTTTGACTGAAAGCGGTCGCTACATCCTTTCTCATTAAAGACAGTTTTCTACAACTTTGGGAAACCATAGCAGTCGAGACCCAACCCTTACTGGCTGTAGATGAAGGGCAGGAAATTCAGACATGGGGAGCCTCGGGATAGAGGGCTAACCACAATAAACTTCTCACTGCTGGCTCCGGGGTGCTAGCCGTCGGAAAGGTCATATCTTCAGTGGTGTCCCGTTGATCCACCTCCAAGCATTGGTGTTCAGGACTGGGAATGGGTCTTTCTGTTGCCTTCCTCGGCAGTTACTAATGGCCTTCCCTTCTGCCCCACTCTGCAGTTCGGCTTTCATAAGGACATTTGGGACATCTCCGAATTTCTCTGCATACAGGCCCTGGGAGGTCCGCAGCGGAGCTAGGAAGATGTTGGGCATCAAACCATGTGGGCATCTTTCCACATCTCTCATCTGCCTCTGGCCAGTGCCAGTGTGGCTCCTGAAGTCACTGCAGCCTCCAGAAACCCACAGACTAGTTGTGTAGTCTCTGGGAAGGAGGGCAGTTGGTGCTCATTCTGGCTGGTAAGATGGGTTGTTGAAATCAGTTGGCCAGATTGTCTGCCTGCCCGGGAAGACAGTTTGGCAGC